GGGAGCGGCCTGGTGGGCTTCTCCGGCTGCGAGAAACTGCTCTGCGAACCTGCTGGGGCTTCTCCAGCGCCTCAGCGGTTGCAGGTACCCCCTGGAAACTCTCTGTGCCTTTGCTGTCTTGGGCCAACTAGCACAACTGCTGCGGCCACGCCAGGCCCTAGCAAGAAGAAAAAAGGCACTCTTGAGTGTCTTGCCTGGGTGGTGCCAAAGAGCTGTGATGATGGGCCCTCTCTCAGGTAGACTGCTTCAGCTCCCTTACTTCACCTACCATCCTTAATTTCAGCTGATACCCTTTTGATGTTTTGCTTCCAGACCCCCCTAAAGAAGACTAATGCTCTCATTGCGCAGATGGGAATAACCTTTACAAATGCAGTAAGTATTTGCATTAACTCTTTGAATTTCTGAGGTTGTCTGCATTTGTGTGCTTTGTATCTTAGCTCTCAAAACTGGTAAAAGTTTATGGAACCTGCACATATGGATGTGGGTTTTTTAAAATTCAAATCTCTTTCAGGCTTAGGTCTCAAAATGGATATAGTCAGAATCTGTGAGGGAAAGTTTCACTTCCTAAAAGCCCTTGTGACTTCCTTAAACTGTGAAGTAAAACTGCATAGCTTAAGTATTTTTATTACCAACCAAGAAGCATTAAAAGAAGCTACTTAGAACTTTCAACTCCATGCTTGCTGGAAACCCACATCACTCTTTTCATTCTCTAGTGTATCTCTATGGCTAAAATAATTGAGTGAATTAACAGGCAAACTGTGTTTTAATGGATTCTTGCTCCTGTCTAAGTACCAAATCTACTTGGGGGGAGGGTTTGAAGGGCGTATGTTGCAGAAACCTGAGATCATTTTTATATGGAGCGTTTTGCTAGTGAAAATACTTAGCATTTTGTGTGTCCGGGAAGAAGTATCTTTTAATGTTGCTGAACATTTTAATCAGCCTGTTAGCTGATGTTTCAAAACCATAAATTTTGAGGTAAAATTGTCCCTTACATCTCTTCATTTGTTCTTCTCAGTATGTTCCCAGTGCGCTTTGCTGTCCCAGTCGAGCTAGCATTTTAACAGGAAAATACCCACATAATCATCATGTTGTCAACAACACTCTGGAGGGGAACTGTAGCAGCAAGTTATGGCAGAAGATTCAAGAACCATACACCTTTCCAGCACTGCTCAAAGCCATGTGTGGTTATCAGACGTTCTTTGCCGGGAAGTATTTAAATGAGGTATTTTGTGCCTTTTGGGCTTTTTATTTGTATTTGTCCATTTTTATATAACAGTCCATGATGTTTCTGTTGATAGCTGATGTTGGGTCCCCGAAATGTCTAAAGTGATGTTACTTGGATGAACACTTCTCCTTGCTAAGATGGAATAAATATGATGCAAAGTTTAGATCTTTAATTTAGTTAAAATCAGGTTCTGTAGGTACCAGAATGTTTTTTAAGTTAATTTTGAAATAATGATGGAATCCAAAGGGCTTTTTTTTTTTTAAAGTATGTTCAAATGTGTTAATTTTAATGACTGGAGGAAAGGGATAGATAATTGGCATGTGGTATTGAAGAACACATCAAGCCAATGCCAAAGCGGACATGATGTTAGAATAAGATTAAAGAAAAAAATGAGTTTGTTGCAATATTCTTGACTTGACATATCCTCTTGCAGCAGAGGACTATTTTGTTTTTAGCAGTTAATATGATATTTTAATTATTAAGTGTCCACTAAGGCAAACTCACTGGAAGTACAGAGGTTTTCAGAGCTTTTTACAGCAGTTACCCAACACTTCATTATTGAATCACCTATATATGTATGCCTTTGCTTTTTTCTGTTTTTAACTAGGCTATGGTTTCTAGTAGTTCATGGTAAGATGTAAAATTCAGCACTGAAAGCTTTAGTCCTCTTGTGTGTGGAATTGTATTTGGAGCTAGATGAGTTACAGCGATCTTAACAGCATTATTTTCCTTGCATCTCTTGGTGGAAAATATTGGTGCTGTAATAGAATAGTGGAACGTGAATTTTCCTAGGTAGGCTCAAATTTGTTTCCTCTGATGTTCCCAAGGCAGCAAGGGGAAGGGAAACTTAACTGTCTTCTCTGAGCATCCCTTGTTTAGCTGATTCTCCCATCCCTGCAGTTAGGCAAGCCGTGGAGATGAGAGAGGGCACCCCTGAGAACCCGTTGTGTTGCTCTGAGGCACCCTCTGTTTTGAGTTTGGCACTGACTCAGCAGCTACTTTGCCTTTTTTGCTGTCTTAAAGGCTGGTTGTTGCGGACTATTTGGCAACGAGGTGACAAGAGGCACTGGCATTGCTTAAAGTTCCTATCCCCATTTGGGGAGCATGAAGGAAGCTGTTGGTCTAGGTGAAATTTTCTTTAGTATCTTGTGAACTGTTATCACAAAGCCTGAAAGTGTCTTGGTACATGGATGTTTTGATCACCTCTTGTTACCTGATAATTTACTGTATGTTCTCCAGGATCTCTCTGTATTTTCACAAGCAGAGTAGAGCAGGGACTAATATTTAAGTTTCATTGGTGAATACCAAACTTGTAGTTTGGTCATTTTGTAACAGGAATAGCTTGTAGTTACGTAGTTACAAACAGTAACAGCTTGTAGTTACTGTCTTTCTAGTGGCCGAACCCTAGTTTCTTTAACGGGGTATACATGTGTTTTTATATGCATGTACATTTGATTTTCCCTATTCTGAAACTGAATTTGGCTTAACATGGTTTCTGACTAGTGTTGAATAAAGCACATGAATATGAAACAGAATTTCTAGCTTTTATTTGTCACAATTGAAACTATGAGTCATGGTCTGTCTTTTTTCAGTACGGAGCAGAAGATGCAGGGGGAGTCGGTCATGTCCCTCCTGGATGGAGTTTTTGGTATGCTTTGGTATGTGGCTATTCTTTTTTTTTTAAATACTTTATTTCGATTGCTTTCTAACCCAACTCATGTTCTAACTTTGCTGGTCATGAAAGAGCAGGCACAGAACATCTAACAACTTGATGCAATTTTTCTTTCACTTTTCCCTCTATTGCACATCAGATCCTTGGCTTTCACAAAGGGTAGTCCTGCTAAGTGCTCAGAGAAAACCCCCAAGTTGTAAAGCCAAAGCCGTGTGAGGTGGCACTAAAGTAAGTTTTGTTGTTGGGGAACACTTCTGAGAATTCTTGCTGTATCCTCATGACAAATGCTCGTAAGCTATTTGACAAATGCATGTGGGCAGCTCATTTTTGATTATTCCAAGTAATCAATGAACATGTTACTTTGCACAAGTATCCATGTCACTTTTCCTTTTCACAGGAGAAAAACTCCAAGTACTACAACTATACTCTTTCTGTAAATGGCAAAGCACGAAGGCATGGCGAGAACTACAGTGTGGATTATCTGACAGATGTACTGGTAAGAAAACATGCAATACATGTTACAGAAGCTGCTAAGGACCAGATAATGCCTCATGCTGGAGGCCTGGGCAAAATTGGAATGATAATTTATTAGGCTGTATTAGTTCATGAATACACAATTGTGCTGTCATGACAGGGAGTGAGCATTAATCAGCAGGGCAAGATTCTGATTATATTTAGAAATGACAGGTTTGTGTGTATGAGCTGTGGAGAGGAAAGAGATTCCAACTGGCCATTTGCTAGCCAGTCGACTCACCGAGAGATTAATACTGACCACATGCTGTGGTGTGTGAGGAGCATAATACTTGTAGGCACTGGCTTTAATTACTTCATAGAAGGAAAGTGTTCCATTATAATATGCAATTTCTGTAACAGATTAACTGTGCCAAGATTTCAGTAGGAAATTAAGCACGTAAGAATAACTTTACACCATGTTTTGTTTCTTAGATATTATGATGTGTTAGTATCTTGTAGTCTCTAACTACATCAGGCTGATAACTTGGAAATATCAAAGACTAATCAATCCTTCATAGTATGAGAGGGCAATATATGGACTGTGAAAAATGTGTAGCTGGCCAGGGGAATTTTTAGCCTCTTTATCCTCTTAAGACACAGAGAGATAACAAAGATGTCAAATACTTAAAGAAAAGTTAGAAGAGCTACTTTAACTCTCTTAAGGCCTTGTTTGGCAAGTAGTAGTAGCTGAAGGGGATGAGTAATTTTCCCCCTGTCTGCCGAGATGGAGTCTTGATTTGCCATGGGGTTACTGTGTGTGGGTTGGTACTGCTGGGAGCTCACATGTAGCACTTGCAAAAATTCTCTGGGATGTCTCCTTGTGCAGTCTTGCATTGAGACCCTGAAGGGTTTCATTCCAGTGGGTGCTAGAACACAGACAGCTGCTTACTAGGAACAGAACTGAGTGATATTTCATAGGGTATTGAACAGCTGTCTGATTAAATTTAGATTTATGTTGTCTAAAGGTAGATTGGAATTGATAAGCCAGAAGTGAGGCTATCCTATTACTGGCATTGTACTGGGGTTTTTTTGGTCTTTCAGCAGCTTGGAAACATTTTGTCCAACAGGTCATTGTTCCATAAACTCCTTACTTGTGGTGTGTTACCGACTGATACAGCACTGAATTGCAGTGTGTTGCATTCTAATTTCTGCCCATAGTTACCAAACATGTATTCAGCATTTCAGAGCCAGTGTTGGAGTTGAATTACTTGGTGGGCAGTGCACAGGAGTAAATTGTTTATGCAGAGTTCCTGTGTTGCTTGATGTGATACACAAGCTTTCTTGTTCTGACTAAGGGCACCTGGGTACTTGAGTCTGGTATTAGGAATCTGAACACCTGAATCTTTCTACTGCAGTCCTCACATGTCACAGTTTAAGCTCATAGTGAAAACAAAGTTGACTACCTTTATCAGTTTAGCTACATCATACTGTTTTCTGAATAGTTCTTCTCCTTCCTTAACTCTGTTGTCATATAACTGAAATTGGGCCCTACATGCTGAGATGTACAAGCTAGGAGGAAGGAAGAAGGAATTCCTAGTGTATTGTTTTTTCCTAGAGAAAGAAAAGGATATAAAAAATGAACTGTACTAATCAGACAGGAAAGAAAAATGTTTCAAGATTTGAATACTGAAAAACTCATCTACAAATAATACCTTTGAAGCTTTGATTTTAAAGGCTGACCAAGGCAAGGCCAGAATGGAACTCAGTCTTTTCTAATTTGCTACTTGAAATTGTGTATAGGCTGAAATGAAAATGAAAGTGCAGTGAAGTGGTGTGAGCAAGCGGCGTTTGGCACTGTTCCTCACAAGACCTCCTGTCTTCACCCCTTGTAATCTAGGAGCTTGCTGAGGAATGAGCATATGCTATAAATAGTGGGGATGAAATATTTTTTCTGATCTGTTGCTATTTCTGAAGCCAACTGAAGCTGCTGAACTGGGATCTGTGAGACAAGAGATGGCACCTGAAAGCCTCAGACTCAGACTGTTAAAGAAAGCTCTGATTTTACTTAATAAAACCTGAGTTTAGGTCGATTCTGTTGGTGCATGGTATAAGCATAAACTTCTGATAAGCTTTCCAGTTCTAAATAACAAACACAAAGGCCTGAAGTAGAAAGTTGTTCAGAGATGTGGGACAAGTGATTTGTTTAGCATGAGCACTTGGGATTATTTTTATCATGAGCTGCTGTTCTAGACATTTGTAGATGAGCAGACAGTAAGATTCTGAAATAGTGTAAATGTTCCCAGTATCATCAAGCTCTAAATAAGTTATGAATATCTAATTTGGATTTCTCAAATACTTGCTGTTTTCCTTTGAGGCATGACTTTTCTCCAACCACACTGTTTACAGGCCAACATGTCACTGGACTTCTTGGAGTACAAATCTAACTTCGAACCTTTCTTTATGATGATCTCAACTCCAGCGCCGCACTCCCCTTGGACAGCTGCTCCACAGTATACAAAGAGCTTTCAGAATGTCAGTGCACCAAGAAACAGCAATTTTAATATTCATGGAAAGGTAAGCTAACTAGCAAGAATCTATAGAGTTTATTCTAGTTGGTGAGAGCAGTAGGCAGTGGCCCTGACTTGCATTTTAAGTTTAAACAGTGAGAAGAACAGGCTAATACCGTGAGTACTGATTGTTTAGTCATGTTAATCAGCCTGGCAGGGTCAGATATGTTTATTGTGACTTTGAGATATTTGCATACCAATATCTTGTAAATTAAAAAAATGGAGTGGCAAAGATGCTATGGTGGTACTGTGGAGTTATGATTGATAAATGAAAAAAAGGTTGATTCCTTGTTGAATTTCCAGACTCTTTTGTAGCTCTTAAAAATTCTTCCATTGTTCAGTACAGAACACATAGGTAGTGTGCTACTCAAAGGCTCGGGTGAAGAATGGTGAGAACCTTGTCTTCCTGTGCACATCTGCTCATGTGGATGGGTGATTGTTCCTTGAATGCATGGCAAAGCTGTATGTCAGACTAAGCAGAGGTTTCTGAGAAACCTTGACCCGCAGGGCTCAGGATCACTAAGGATTTTGAGAACTTGTCTTTCACTTGTTGAAATAACCTGTTAACAGAATTGCTAAGACTAATGTTACAAACTCAGACTTCCTTGTGACAGGGCACTATTTTCCACTGCCAGCAAACTTGGCCAGATATGGTCTAGCTCAGATTAATCTGCTGCAGTTCACTCTACCAATAACCGAAATTCACAAACAGTTCATGTGGTAGATACCTTACTTTCAGAAGTTTTGTATTTTTGATTCAAATAGTTTAAAATATAGAAGCCATTACTGTTCAGTGTTCAATTGTCTCACTTCAAGATTTCCCTCTAATCTTAGGACTAAGAGACAACACTGCCTATCAGGAGCCCAGTTGTACCACTTCTAAGGTCACTGTGACTCATGTTGTACAAATGACACTTGTGTTTTTTTTAGCTGAAGATTGTAGCTTGCAAAATGACCTTCTGCTTATCAATAGGATACAAAAACACGAATGAAAGGGGAGAAAAGGGCTGCAGGCAGTAACAACAACTCAAGTTTTGAATTAGGGAGATGAAATCAGACTGGGGATTTTCCTCCACAAAAGGAGGAACTTTCCTTAGACTCCATTACTGCAATAATTGAGTGCTCTTAAAATAGCAGTTTAGAAATAACTTGACCAATGGTCAGCAGCTAGCAAAAAATACAGTGTGGAGTTCCCTTATGTGGTGCTAAAGCTCTGCATGTGCCTGGATAACACACAGCAAAATGATAGACTTAATGTTTGATAATATCTGTGGATACAGCAGTTTTACTATAGGAACAAATAACTTTACCCTCCTTCCTAGACACAATAGGTAAAGTCATTAACTGCATTTCTGCAGTAGGCAGTGTTGTGGCTTTGAAGCCAAACTCTTTGAGCTTCACTGTTTTCTTGGGCAAGCATGATTCCTCCAGTGCCAGTAAACATGTGTGTAGTCTCAGACCCTCACTGATGTTGTCATGCTTGCTTGACAGTCTCGTATTCTAGTCTTGATTCTTAAATGAATGTTGCCTTGCTTCCTTATACAGTATGTGTGCAAGGCTACTAAAAAGAGCCATTTAGGCAGAATCTGCATGAAAAATAGGAGTTAAGCTGTTGTGTACATCACTGGGCAGAGTCTGGCTTTAACTTCTGCTTTGGATCCTCAGCTATGAACTGTACAAAATGACAGGCAGCTGTCTGTTTTCCCAGCAGGGCTGTTAATAGTCCAGATGAGTGGTTTGTCTAAGCTGTTCTGAGGGAGAAGTTGATTAAGATACTTGTTGGGCATTGTTTTTCCTGTAAAATCAGAGCATGACTGTGTTCAGATTCTGGTGGTGAGGCATGGTATGCTGTCTTGAGACCTCCTAAAATTTCTTTGAGAATGGAACATAGGGAGGCAGCAGGATTGGTGGACAGCTTTCTATGTAAATGGTGAAAGAGACTTGACAGGAAAGCAGATTTGATGACTCTGTCAGTGTGAACCTTCTTGAAATACCCAAAGGTGTTTAGGTGCTGTGTGAAGTTTTTGAAACTTCAGGCAAAGGTAGAAAGAACAAAATACTCAAGAAAAGAGGAGGATTCTACTGCACTAGGTGACTTACTTGCCAGAATTGCCCAGTGTGGTTGTGCCTTATGAAGCACCTGTCCTAAGCACACCCCTTCTGAAAGGTGATGGGTGCACAAGTGACCTTGCCTGCTCCTTTGTTGTCTGAAGAACTTCTGCTGAGTTGGAGATGAGAATTTCTGATGTCTTTCCTTATTTTTTCCTCTCTCAATCAACACACATGTCCTAGATGCTTAGTCTTGATTATGCTGTGTTTCTTGCTGAGATAGACTTAGTGTCTCTCCAGAGAATTGTTTTACAAGTACTATAAAAGAGACATCTGAATACAACTGAATTAAAGAAAAGTGGACATGGTATTAAGTCTCCATGCCAAAAATCTTCCCTTTGGTCAGCAAGAACAGAAAACAGGTGATATGAGTCACTTCGTGAGTCCGTAAAGCCTAAGCCTGTCCAGAGTCATTCGCTTGTGACAGGAGGGAAATTGCATAACTAGAGGCTCTACAGAGAGGAGTGACCAGCTAAATACAGGCTCAAGCTGGTGGTGGTGAGTGGGTCACCTCTGACCTACTAAATGAAAAAGCATAAAGCTGTGCTGACATGACTTTCTTCTTTGTTCTGATCCCCACTAATACTAACCTTCAGGTTGTTCACAGCAAACCTTCCCATGTATTTGTACAGCAGCTGACCCAGTTCAGACTGGTGCTTTGATGTGGGAGTATCACTTCTTGTATGAATTACATCATGTCCATTACTTTGGGGGGGTGGGTGAAGGGAGAAGGTGAGGGTCTTTTTCTGAAAGTTTGGGATCCAGCTAGAGGAATCAATGCCTCAGCTAAAGAAATGCTCTTGTTTTGGAGTCAAAATTCAAATTAAATGGTAATGTTCTGCTCCCCTCAGTAGTCTTCAGCCCTGAGTTCATAGGCTACCAAGAATCTGATAGTGGCAGTGTTATAGGTCTTTGTCCTCATCTGTCTATAACTTATATAGTCCTAATTGCATTAGATGCAGGAGTTTCTCCCCACCTGTTAGGATGTTCACCAGTCTTAGTCCCAAAAGTACCTCACTTTGACAACCGGTGATGCTCAGTACTTCAGATTGTTTTCACTGGACCTGTCTCAGATTATCAGACTTATACCTCTCAGAGAGCCTTTCCCAGATTCTTTGACCAGTTTCTTCCCTGAGCTGCTTTGAAAAGATCTACAGCTATTTTTTTCTCACCAAGAGCTGAGCATAATGGAGCTCTAATATATTCTACTCTTGAAACTTAGATTTTACATGAACCAATAGGGAAAATCTGTGTAAGGTCAGTTTGATAGTATTGCCTGACTATTTCACAGGAATCAATTCACAGACCAATTGAAATTGGTCTAAGAAAGGTTTAAAAGCTGGTACTTGCCTCCTATACTAATCTTTTTGTCTTTTTTTTTTTCCTTTAGAACAAGCACTGGTTAATTCGACAAGCAAAGACTCCGATGACTAACTCTTCAATACAATTTCTTGATGATGCTTATAGAAAGCGGTAAGAATTTTTTTTGTTGCAATTTCTAATCAGAACTTGGAATTGTTTTGGTTTTTTTACTTTAAAAATAAAAAGTATGGTTTTCAAAAACAGTTGTAGTAAGTGATAATCAATGTCAGATTACCTGTAATAGTTCTCTGACATCTCAGTAGACCTGACTTCATTTAGTTTTTGCAAATAAACTTGTCATTGCCTTCAGAAATATTTTATCCCCAAATGCTGCCATCATTTATCAGAAAAAAAAAGACACCAATCACACTTGGTCTCTCTATTGCTTTTCTTTCAGTGCACAACAAGTTTTTATAAAAAATTGGCCTTACCTTCTACTTCACTTGAATTTCAGATTCTTACATGATGTACATCAAATGTGATTGATCTGTCTGCTAGCTAGTCTGATTTATTAACCTTGGCTCTCATTCTGTAGTCTTACTGGGGAATACCTGACTGGCTAAGAGAGGTGCTTGATTCCTTTTTATAAAAAGGAAGAGTAATGTGTAGATATGTCTTGTTCCCTTTTTTAATAGAAAGGAAGGGTATTTGTTTACACACAGAACTTTAAAAGTTCTGAAACAAATGTTGACTAAATTTGCACTCCATTTTGAGCAGTTATCAGGCATTAGCTTGTCACTTTGAAGGTGGAAAACCAAGATTTTTTTCAGGCTCTTGCCTTATAAAAGAGGAGGGTAAAATTATGCAACAAAATCTTGAATTAAGCCTGCAGACAACAGAATCCAAGAATTGAATAGTTAATAATTGAGCATAATACTAGTCTGTGGAGGTTTCTGGAAGCAGTCACTTTTCTCGATGGCAAACCCCATGACAAGGAAAAGAAGAATTTGTTGCTGTTCAAGGCTTTAGATACACTGAAATAATGTACCCTGACAATGACATGATTAATTCAAAATAGCTGATACAGTCTTCAAACAGAAAGGATACCATATAGATAACTATATTCACGTCAGTCTTGCATTTTAATATTAAACTAAATGTGAAGAACTAATAACAAGTGTTCTTGCAGGAGATAACTCTTTGCCACCACGCTTCAAGGTTGGTCTTCGCTGTCTCCAGACAAGATATAATCTGCATTTTGATATTTTTCGGAGACACTGCAGAATAAAATCAACAAGATATGAGGACAAACAGTCTATTTCTGTTGTAAATTGCAGTCTCAAAAAATAAAGTGTAGGAGTCTATGATAAAGTATGTTTTCAGAATTTGTAAGCAAAATAACTCAGTGTGTACACTGTTGACTGGAAGCAGATATGAGTGGCCCACCTGCAGTCAGAGTTATTTTGAATTTTTCATCCTCTAATACAAAGTACTTTGTTTCGGTATAGGTGGCAAACTCTGCTGTCAGTAGATGACCTGGTAGAGAAAGTAGTGAAGAAATTGGAACTGAATGGAGAATTAGACAACACCTACATCTTTTACACATCAGACAATGGCTTCCACACTGGTAAAATTTTCATTACTTACTGAATATTTGTAGCAGATCCAGGAATTGCATAACATTTCACCCTCATGACCACTCCAGAAAGTGGGAACAGCAGCTGTCCAAAACTGTAGATATGAGAAGAACTGATTTGAGTTGAAAAACGATCTGGAATTGCAGTGTGGGGTGTTTGGTAATTTTATTGTTTGGTTGATTTTTGTCTTTTCTAGCATTAATCTCTATCAGTGTATCCTGGTATACATAAAATTAGGACAGAAATGAAGGGTCTCTGTGTTCTGTAGGAAAAGTTGGCATAAAACAGTTAACCAGTAAATGTCTGTGAAAGACCTCTCTGTATCATGTACAGCTAAAAATGCAGTATCTAAGCTGTACAGCTTTGTAAGATGTTGCCTATACTTTGAAGTTATCTGTTTCTGTCCTCCAGTTCTTTGATGTAGTTCAGGTTAAGAACATCTTCTATAAAAGTTGGCGGCTGGAAGATACCTGCCCACAGCAGAGGAGTTGGAACTAGATGATCTTTATAAGGACCCTTCCAACCTAAACCATTCTGTATAACACAAGACTCTTAAAATGTAAAACAAGAAGCCATTTAACTTTTTCCAATTTCTATCACATAGGCCAGTTTTCTTTGCCAATAGACAAACGACAGCTCTATGAGTTTGACATCAAAGTTCCGTTGCTAGTTCGAGGACCAGGGATTAAACCAAATCAGACAAACAAGGTAAGAAAGAAGTGAAATCAGAGTACAGATTTATTTTTAATATTGTTTCACAATTATCAGCTTTGGCTAATAGTTTATGCTCCTGCATACATGTCTCAATGGAGTGAAATACACGAGTGGTAGAAAGTGCAAAGACCTCATTACAAAAAACTGTTTGTTCTGGCTTGAGTCAGTGAAATTAAGTAATTGCAGGCTAAAAAAAGTACATGAAGTTTGAACTCACTTTCCAAAGTCCCTGCCATTGTTTTTCAATGTTAGAAGGTCCATTAGCAAATAAAGATGAAATTAAGTAGTGTTTAGGTGTACCTATATTTACAAGTACTTAAAATACAGAAGTCCTATTATTACATCTGTGAGGTTATGATCTTCTGAAGTTAAGTTTTTCTCACCCTGCAGATACTTGTTGCAAATATTGATTTGGGTCCCACTATTCTGGATATTGCGGGATATGACTTGAATAAGACCCAGATGGATGGGATGTCACTGTTGCCGCTGTTGGTAAGTAGACAGACAGGGATAGTAACTGATAATTCTTGCAAAGGTAATTCTTCAAAATGAATACTACTTCCTTCGATAGACTAGGCTGACTCATAACCCAGATTTTTCCCCTGATGTCATTTTTCACATGGGATGGTCATAATTAATGAAAAAAGTAGATATGTTGTTTAAATGCAGATGTATTTTCATAAGCACTACAACATTATTGTCATTTTATAATGAAGTTGTGTCATCCTTTGGCTCATCCTGCCATTTGTAATAATTCCTGTTTTGAAGCCTGTATGTTGTTTCTACCTGCATCCTTCTTCCCCTTTTCCTTAGCATTTCTCAGCATAGACATAGGATGAAAGCAGACTGTTCTTATTTAATCTTTGGTTTGACTCCATTTTCAGTAGAACTGGTGTTTCCTATCAAACTCTGGAAAAATGCATGTGGTTTTATAAAGTAAACTTGACCTTTCAAATAGGTGAACAGCAGCCTATTTAAATAAAGTTGCATGCAGCTGATCTGTTTAGGTTTAATTAAATTTAGTCTATAAATTGAAGGCATCTTACTTGGAAGGTAAGCTAGGAAAGATCATCCAGATTTAAAAGTGCTTTGCTTTTAAAACCGTGTATCCAAACCTTAAGCTGTTCTTTAGACAGAAGCAGGTAAGAGGCACCTAGTCTAAACTCTGATGGAATCAAAACTGAAACTCATCGTTTTCCTGCATAGGACTGTGACAAAGGTGTATATTAACTTAGGCAGTGTTAGTGTTATACCAAGCATGGAGAATTTTTTTCGTTGTGCAGTAGATACTAAGTTGTGTTTACCTCTTGTAGAGAGGAGACAAAAATGTCACGTGGAGATCAGACTTCTTGGTGGAGTACCAAGGAGAAGGATACAATGGCAGCGATCCTACCTGTCCTGGTCTAGGACCTGGAGTCACAGTAAGCAAAATGAGATCTTTTAAATATTAAAAAATAGCTGCTGAATTAAACCTGTTTGCTGGATGGGCTAACCTGGCTCTTTCTGTAAGCTCCCAGTGTTCTGGGAAGTAGGAGCTAGCTCTGTAGGCCCTGTGCAGCATTGAGGACTGGGGGGAGATATCCAGCCATGTGGAACTGACATGTGCACGTGACCATAGAGAACACAGTAACCCTTTCTGCGGGAATCTATAGGTCCTCAGGGCTGGAGAAAAACATAGGCAGGTGTGGGTTGAGCCAAGTGTGTGGCAGTGACAAAATGTGCTTTCTAAAATTCCAGTGACCTTGTACAGTTCTTGTCTGTGACTGTTATTTAAGTCATTAGCTACTCTCCGAATCAAAGCAGGTTTGCTTTGTTTTACTTAAGTAAAGCATCCTATTGGTGTTGTCTTTAGTTGTGTGTGGTGTGGTTCTCTTCAATGTATGTACAATAGCTTCCTGGACATAATGCACTTAATAATGTTCAGTTTAATAACAACACTTCCTCAAATTTAGAAGAGTTGAGTTTTTGCTTAAATTCCCCAGTGGAGACTTGCATGTGTTAACCGATGAACAACCAGATCTTAATTTAACTGCAGTTGGTGTGAGCTAGTATAGACTCTAGGAAAAGGATTGCTAGTTTATCTTCTCCTGCTGAGGTTTCTGTTCACTGATTGCTTCACAGCACTGCTTCCCAGACTGTGTCTGTGAGGATTCCTATAACAACACATATGCTTGTGTAAGGACACTGTCATCTTCCTGGGATCTGCAATACTGTGAATTTGATGACCGGGAGGTAAGTCTCTGTCTGAGTAGCAGATGTCAACTGTTCACAACCATGTGAGTGTCTGTCTGCACTCTTATCAGCTCTCAAGGTTTCCATGAAATACTCTGAAAAGCAGACTAGCACTGCTTGCAGGGCAAACAGTGAAGTACTTATCTCCTGGTGAGAATGTTTAACCGAAAATGTAGTGGGGTTTTGGGAAGAAGGAAAAATAAAAGGGGTGTGTGGGAGGGGAGTGAGGCCTAAACTGAGACTATGACCTTCTGGTATCAGCTAATAGCCTCATGGGGAGCTGTGCTGAACTGGGTTCAGCCTAATTCCATGTGGCAATCTCTTCTGTACAACAGGTATTTTCTGCTGCACTGTACCTCTGCTGTGTTTGTGTTCAGCTGCAAAATCTTTTACTTGGGAAGAACTGAAAATCCAGGCTAATAATTTATCTTCTGTTACTCACTTGTTTGTCAGGAAAAAAAAGTATTTAAGTTTCAACTGTGAGAAAGGTCTCTGACCTTATTGTAAGTTGTTTGGGTGTAAGGGACATAATGTCCTCCCTTCAGAAACTGTTCAGATCTCACTAGGACAGCATATGCTGTATGTATAAAAGGTGGAGTGTTACAGTGCTGATCTTTGCTTGTGCCCATTTGCACACAGCTGCTCCAGAGAGCATGTGTCTGGGTCACAGAGCTAATAAACTGTATTGTCAGCAGATGTGCAATAAGAGCATGAACAGCAGGTATCCTCAGTAACTGAGCACCACACAACACATTTTATGAGAGTCTACAATGAGCAACTTAAATGATGGGAGTAAATCCCACAAGATGTTTTTGCACTGAGATAGTATGAAAAACTGTGTAGGTTTGTATAGGAGACCAAAATGCCAATTAGCAGACCCTGCCCTTTGTTTTTCCACTTTCTGGCAATTTACAGTGAAGTTAAATGTTGCAGCTTTCTTCATAGTTGATTTGATAATAAACTTCATGTCACTTTGGGGTTTTTTTACTGAGAAGATATAGCTGTGGCATTTTTGGGTTACCTGGGTTAGCTCAATTAAGACTAAGCGTATTGGGAAGGTGCAGCAATGTGCCTTTTAAAACCTTGCAATGAACCTTGTAAGAAAGCTGGCAGCCAAAGTCTGCCCAGATATGTCTTATCTAAGTTAGACACAACCCAGCCAGTTTTTATCACTATCATCTGCAGTCAGGACTCTTACTCTAGCACAGGCAAAACCACAGCTGAATTCTGAGATAAATTTGACTAGTATTTGTCCCACAGAGTGGTCTAGAGACTTAATATACCAAAAACAAAATCCACCCTAAAATCTTCCAGATAAACCTCAAAGCACATGCACTCAGGATAAGCTTTCTTGTTTTAGGGCTATCACATACTTGTATTCAGAATATTTGGTACATGAAATCAAGATGTCTTTCTGAGTCTGACTGCTCTAAGTATCTGACGAGCATTAGAATGGTGATGTGGTAGTCATGAAATTGTGTATTTTGAGACTCATTAGTGAAAAGACAGACAGCTGAGCCATGGTGTCCTACTGTGGTCTCACAGTCATAAGGCATGTTCTGTTTATGTGCTGGACAATATAATCTGCAGTAAAGCAGATGAGCACTGTAGGTAAAAGCAGAATCTTTTCCAACAATACTGCATTTCTGCAAAACTGTTTTGCTTGCACACTGTCTTGTCTTTGACAACTTATCTGCATGGCTAGACATAGTCTATATGTGGGGCTGCTGTAGTGAAGTTTAAAATAATATCTGAGGCTATGTGTGCTGTAAAACATTCTTCCCAAATAATATGACTAAATGATAATTTGCATTTAGGCCTTAATACAGTGCAGGAACTTTCTTCTACAGGTGTTTGTGGAAGTGTATAACTTGACAGCAGATCCACACCAGATCAATAACATTGCTAAAACAATTGATCAAGAAATTCTCGAGAAGATGAACTATCGATTAATGATGCTGCAATCCTGTTCAGGAGCAACTTGTCGCACACCAGGTGTCTTTGATCCCGGGTAAACACTTCATTATTATAATACTGTTAAACATGTATTTTTAAATTAAGCTTTTATAGAGGGTATTAGTGATGGAATATATTATTGACATATATACTGTTGTTTAATAGAGATGCTTTCTTGATGCTTCTCAGTTTTAATGCTTAATCTCTATTTTAATTTAACTTACAAATATTACTTTGATATTGAATACTGCTACTTTAATCTTGTCAGCCATTGTTGACTCAGAATAGGTGAAGCATACAGCTGTGCTGAGTAGTCAAAGGCAGTGACCTCTGGTTTGCCTGCAAACCACGAAAAGCTTTGTTGGTTTCTACAGGCAGACATTTTGCAAATACTTGCTCTAATTGTTCCTGGAGATGCTGTTAGCAAAGAACATTTCCTGCAAGACCTAAGCTGTATGTATTGGTCAGCCCTTTTAAGTAAATAGCACTTCTTACCTCAAAACTCAATCAGTAATCATTTGTGCTGAAGCTTTTTTAAGCACTATTCAAAATGTCCTTACCATTGTGCTATTTAAGTTTGTAATTTGAGGCAGCAAAGCTTTCTGTTAGAATGCAGATCCTGAATATTCCATGTAATACATGCCTGTATGCTGCTGGTATGTTGTAGCCAACATTTATCTAGTTGCAGACTGTCAGCTCCCTCGTGTGTCACTATAGTTCAGCTTTGCAATAATAGAGATAAATTGTCACTACTGTGTATTGTTGAGAAAGCAACTATTCATGTAACCTTGTACCAGAGCTAGTCTAGCAATAAGCTCTTTTTAGAAGTGCTGGTCACTGGGGCCAAGTAGCTCACACTGGCTCTGTTCCTTTCTGTAGGTACAGGTTTGACCCACGGCTCATGTTCAGCAATCACGGCGCACAGGCTCGGAGGTTTTCAGCACAGTCCTTTATATGACCATTAAGAGCCTCTTGCAGCTGGCTCCTACTGACCAGTTTCTCCAGTGACTGCAGCAGGTCTGTCTCTGTATCTCTCGCTGATCACAGCTGGAAGACTTTCAATGGGCTTTTCAAACCCTGTTTGGAAGAAAACCCCTCGTCTTTAGCTGGTTGCCTTGTGCAATATGTATATTTTACAGCTGAACTCTAACTGTAAATTGTTAGACACAGCTAATCTGTCTTGCTCAGATAGTTGATTACCACCTTTGTCTTTCAAGTACCTTTTCATATCACAGGCACAGAGGTGAACTTATGCCTATGAATCTGAAAAGTTTATTTTGTTCTAAAAAGTCAATGATTGCGTATTTGAGTCAGGTTAGATAGGCAGGTGCTATTGCACAGCAGTGCTCACCCATATTCAGTGTCATAGACTTTCTTAAAAGCTATGTTTAATTATAGGTTTCTTGTGTCAAGCTCAAAGCTGTTAATGACAATAGCAAACTAGCCCAAAACAGAGTAGGAAGGTGCTAGTGAAAACCCTAGGATCTGACCTAGCAAGTGTCATGTGCAGAATTAAAATCCATCTGCTCAATAGTCTCTTTCAACAAGACCACTTGAAATGAAACCAATGAATTTTGTAGGACAGCCTTGGTAGCTTGCAAACAAGAATGTAATTTCAGCCTTCTAGTTTGAAATGCTGGAATGGGTTACTATGTACTACTGAAAAACTCTTAGGGTTTAAGATGGACTTCCTAGTGAGTAAACAAGAGTGTTGAGACTAACAGGTATTCAAGTAAATGTGCCTGTGTTTGGAGCTAACTCTAACATCTGTTTTTAATATGCAAACAGAAATAATACTAAAATGAATAACATCCAACAACCAGGGCACCACAGTAGAGTTGATCTGTCTCTAACCTCCAAATGTCTTGAATTGTCTAACATTTTATGTTGATTAGATTCTTGAAGGCAAATTATTTTGAAAACAAACTAGCAAAAAATAAATCATAGAATCATTGCTCACTAGATGTTAGGCTAAGAGAGCTATTTTAGGCAGTTTAAGTGCTTCATAAAGTGTTGCTTTTTAGTCAGGACATAACTACTTGGAACCTGCAATAAGTGGCCTTCTCAGCAAAGTTCTGGCAAGACAAGTTTGTGTTGCTTGTGGGCAAATCAACTGTTACCAGGCAGGATGATGCATTCCCGTGTCAGACAAACTGTGGCACAACTACTTAGTTTTCAGTTAGGTATTTCACATCTTTTACCCCAGTAGAGAGCATGATTATTTCAACTTCTGTCACATGAAACCTACTAGTAAGTAATCCTGAAGGTAGGTGACAAAGCATGACTCTTCAAAACTGTGAAGGTGCATACCCCAGTGTGCAGATCCACAAACTGGATACAAGCAATGCCACAATAAAGTAAGTTGAACTTTCTTGGTGTATAAGTCTGAAGCACAGAAGTTGTCCTTTGTTTAGCTTAGAGCTGCAAACTTCTGTGGTGGTCTACAGGTTAGATTTTTGTAGAGCTTTTGTTTCAAGTCTCTTTTGTTTCAAGTCTCAAGTGACCAAATATTTGGAGAAAAAAAAATTCTTGAAAGGTGACTTTTCAGCTGGAGCATCTGTATAAATGCAGATTTTTTTTGATATTCAATCTACTTACATGCTTTCAAATACTCAGGACTCTTTTTTTTCCCCCTCAAATACAACTGTAGCTTTATCCTGGTTTTTTTGTTTCTCAAGCCTTAGTATTGCCCATCAGTATGCTTGAGACTCTCTTGTCTTTAGAAACAAACCAAAGTTGTTTTCATGCTCTCAAGTGTTTTCCCTCATGCTGAGCTAAACCTGAAGCTTACGTATGTAGTGTTTTGCTCAGAGAATTCTAGTAACTTAGGCTTGTTCTTTGTTTAAACTTTATTTTGGTAGCTGTGTGGAGGCTAGTGTGAAATACACTGCTGCACATTAATCCCTCAATCTGGGTTGTATGTCAAATTTCTACTGAAGTTTCAGTGCAAGTAATGTGTTCTGCTGCTCCTTAATAGAAAAAAAAACTTCATTATGGGTACAGATTTGTAACTCTAACAGTCTTTTCTTAAAGTGATCTTAAGCCATAACAAGTAAACTTTCTTTTGAATGACTTACTCTTTGCCTGCTAAGTAATGTGAAAGTTGACAGAATTGATTCAGATTATTCAGCATGAGTGACCAGATGTTTTACCCAAATTAATACTCTTGCTATCTGCACAGACCTGTAAAGCATTTTGTAACAAAGCTCAATAACTTGCACACTCACTGTGAGAGAACCACACTATTACTTGAAATCTGTCATCAGTACTAAATGTTGTCTTAAATTGAAATTCAGAATGAAATTAGTCAGTCCTTACTTAACCAGAATAGTGGCTCAGGAAAACACCTGCTTGACTCCCACTTTTGATAAATGCTCAAGAACTGTTCAGCATGGAGTTGAAGGAAGAACAGGAACAAAGAGCTGCCTGCCTTCCATGGCTTTGGAGCAGTCTGTCACCATAAAGCAGTTCAGTCTGAGTATTTTTACAACTTCAAATGAACAGTATTAATTCTTATCCTTGATGGTTAAAAAACCACTATGAAGGAACTTTAGTTCATCCAGATGCAATTCCCAACTAAGTTATTTTAAAACTAAATGGTCTTTCTGAATATTCCATTTCATGTGCTGTTTGACCCTGGCTGTATCTGTACCTTGTTAGTGAAGACATTTATGTTAAATGTACAGTTTTAAATAAAGGGCCTTACTGGTACAGTGTTGGGTTTAGATAAAATGTGATAATTTAATTTTTTTTTTTTACTTTTTAAAAAAGTTACCAAAAGCAGAGCTATGAATTTTTAATGATCTGATCTGGTAAAGTAGATAATATACAGGGAGAAATACAGCTAATGTTATTACATTATCCTAAACCAAAAAACATTCATTATCACCACTTCAGCATCGATGAATGCAGCTAGTACTTGCTTAGCCAGCACAGGCCCAGTAAATTGGGCTTCTTCATTTTGAGGAATAAAGCTGTAGCAGGGACACATATATGGAAACACACACCCAAAGCAGGTATAACACCTCTTCCATCAAGTTAAATTTGAGACTGGTTCAACAAGCTGAATGCAATATTTCAACACAATGAAACAGCTGTCATTTCTTGTGATTCAACTCTAATTTTGCTCGTATTACTCTCTCTGTATGAGCATACTTTGCTGTAGCATGTTGTGAGCATATTTCTGCTGTTTTGAACGTCTGTTTAGAAAGTGCCCTTCCAGGGGACCCTGTTCACTGCTGCACTTTTGGAGAAAGAAAAAATAAACTGCCTATCAAACTTCCTATCTTTCTGGTACAGAACTTGAGTTCAACCTTTCCACAGGATTGTGTCACACAGCTAAGCACTGAATTCTTGTTCTACAAGCCTGTTTGCTGCTCACTACCCTGCTGCCCAACAGTGGCTACTTCCCATGGTCACAGGGAACCTTTTGCACAGCATCTGGCAAAGCAAGATCTGACTGCTTTGCACCAGAAAGAAACACTGAGGTGAGAGTACAAATTGAAATGGAACCTGAACTTGCTCACATTTCCTCGGAAACTGATGTAAGTTGCATAGATGGAAAACTTTATCGAAAGTCACAATGGAGAAACTGCTGTTCATAATGAAAAGCAGTATGTTCTGCCCCCAAGAGGAAGAATAAAATCCCACATAAGGCTTTTTTCAAAATGGGAACTGTGAGCAATAGTAAGATACATGCTACTTACCTCAGTCACTGTTACAAAAGTGAATTCCTTGGATGATTCAGTTTTAAAATATATACATAACTTTTCTGAACTATAGAGGAAGGGGATTTGGTACACCTTTAACCTATTTAAGTCTGAGGCTTTCACAAGCTACTGAAACAAGTACTTCTGCATTGTATTGGCATTTCTGCTTAAGCATGTGATTCCAGTTTCATTTCTTCTTCAGCAAGGAGATAGCAGACTTCCACTAAGCAGACAAAAGCATTTAACTGCTGCTTGAAACAATGTTACTGTCTTTCTTTGGGTGTTTCAACTGACGAAAACTATAAAGTTTACACTCAAGAAAAGGCAGTTCTGTATTACCTAGGTAGACCTGCCCATCATGCTCAAAGACATCACTGACAGCCCAAGTGACACTGCATCAGGGTCATGGAAGCTTGGTGCAATGTCTCCTTTGTCATTAATTTCGAAGAACAAGCCATGTTTAGGAAGAAAATTGCTGTTATGGGGTGAAAGGACTCACATGTTTTAGAAAAAGAAATACACAGTGTTAATGCTTCATTCAAGGGGTGGAGTGGTAGAATTCCAGGATTAGAAAGAAATGGCAGTGCTAATATATTGCTTTCCAGGTGTTGCTGTAGTTAGATTCAGCTGTCACTTAATTGTTGGTAATACCCACTGGACTGTGTCTAAAGCTGTGGTCCAGTAATGGCTCACAGATCTCAAAAGCACAGTCAGTATTTGCTTGCTCAAGGTGTGGAAGTCGTTTGAACTTATTCCAGCTACCAAAACCCACCCCTTCTCTAGAAACAGGAATAAGAGGTACTTGATGGAACACAACTGAATCACCCACTTCACTGTTTTTCCTGTGCAAGGTCTTGGGAAGTGCCAGCTCCCTGACTCTTGTGTGGCAAGAATGACTTTACAGAGTTTGATTGAACAAAATCCTCATATTTTCTGTGAAGGGTTCTTTACCTGCTGTTGTGTTTAACCCCAGCCAGCAGCTAAGCACAATGCAGACACTCCCTCTCCTCTCTCTCTCTCTCTCTCTTCCTCCCCAGTACCTCAGTGGAATGGAGAAGAGAATCAGAAGTAACTTATAGGTTAAGAACAGTTTAATAATTGAAAACAAAGTTAAATACAATACCAATGGTAAATGATAATAATAGTAAAGTAATAATGTTCAGTAGATGAAAGGAAAACATTACAATGACTATTCTAAAACAAGAAAGTAACTCTTCTCCTAGGACATTACAATCCTAAGCAAAAAAAGTTGTGTTAGAGGGCTTTTTTGAGCTGTGATGTTTTGCTTTGGTTTTGAACCACCAGAATTGATTCAGATTGTACATTTGCTTTAAAAGACTAAGCATTTTTATTGGATACCTGCTTAGCAGTGTTTTTCTCCTCTGCTTACTTTTTAAAGTGTTTCAATTAACAAGGCAAAAATCTCACAGAAGTCTTCGAATCTTTTGACGTTGTATTGTAACTCCAAAAACTTCTCTGTAGGGTATCAGAGGAGAAACACTGGCAGTGATTAAGCCCCACCTTTAAAAATAGCATCCTTCTACCTTTTGGCTACTCCAGGCTCTGAAACAGTACAATGCACATGACCAATGTGCACATGACTTACTGTTCAACAAAATATATTGCACTCTGTTAACTATTTAAAAACATTTCTCTGATTTTTACGTACATTTATTGAACTAAAGTAGACATTATTTTTTCAAGTGACCTGTATTTTAACTCAGCTTTGTTTACATTTAAAAATGAGTGCTGTCACTTGGCAACAGGTGTTAAAAGATGCTCTGTGCCAGGAGTACTAAAACCCTACAGGTTCTGACAGTCTAATGAGCACTTAAACCAGAGCAGGTAAACAGATACAAAAACACCCAACATCTGCTCACTCACATCTATGGAAAAATGTTACGAACAAATAGGACAGATTCTGAAAGTATCAGCTACGAGTCTTGAGTAAAAGCACTGTCTAGGATTACTGGCATACAGAAAGCACCTGTTTATCCAGAGAGAGAACTTTAGAGCCACTGTTCCAGTACAGCAACTTTGCTTGGGAAAAAAATAAGAGGCTGAACTTTGCTGTCAGAAAACATAGTGGCATTCTAATGCCTCCCAAGGCATGTTAGAAACAGCTGAAATTTCTCATCACATACCAGATCCTGTATTTAAAGAGGGAAATACACTTGTAGCACTATTTTCTATCATGTTATGTGCAAGGCCATGATGTAATATTTAGGTTTCTAGAGCTAGTGCAAGGGGGTTTTGCTCTCAATTTCTCTCATGGACAGTTGTAGTAAAGTGAAGACAAAACATAACTACTCTATTTATCTGTAATATCCTGACTTATTCATACAGAAAATACACTCGAGAAA